CCGCCCCCGGCCAGCTCCCGCCGGTTCCCCATAAGCTGCACTCACCTTGGTGCCAAATGTCAGCTTCTCTGTGGCTTTTACCTACTAGAACGTAGGGCCAAACAAACAGAGACCAACCTCGCCTCGGCGGAAACCGGAAGCAACGTGGCGGAGCCGGAGACAGATCGAGAAAGTACGCTTCTTCTCGAGCGTGGGTCTGATTGGACAGATCCAGAATCTCAGCCATGATTGGACAGAATATCTTGAGTGACAGTAAACCGTACCAATCTTTGACGGAACAAGACCGACTGGCGGATTCTACTTACCACTTCAGTCTGTGATTCTGTAACTTCAGACTTGTCCCACTTAACCCTGCGACATCATTTATGTTTCTTTCTCTACCCGGCTATTCCATTTAGCATGACGTCCTTCAGGTTAATTTATGCCGTACAGAGTGACAAGGTTTTGCTATTTTTGAGATTATTCCATTGTGAATATTCACGTTTCCTTTTCATATACCTATGGATGAGCACAAGTAATTTTAATACCTTGACCCTTTGGATAGTGCTGCAATAACTATAGCAGTGCAGGAATCTCTGGCACATTGACCTGAAATCCTTTGTTTATATGTTCGGAATTGGACTTGCTGGTTGTTACAGTAATTGCATTTCTGGTTTTGAGCTGCCATGTGGGAGCTGGAACCACATACTCATGTTTCGTTTTGTTTTTTGAGACTGGACACATACTCATTTTTATAAAGTGAAACCATTATGTATTTGACCAGAAGAATGTAAGATAGGAGAAAGGGCATATTTAGTTTGAGTTCTACATAATAAGTTAAATATTCATCCAGGTCTCACAGTCACAGGTGTTTGTTACTCACACCTCCGCCCACAACATCTCAAAATCGGGGCTTGGGAGGAAACTCGCCTGCCTCTAAACCCTGTCTTTCCTTCTTGAATTTGAAGATAGGGTTCCCAGTGAATGAGATGTGGCTTCTGTAGACATATGTTTCCCTATGGAACAGGTCACTTCTATAGTTTGAGCCTCATAACAGTACCAGGCACAGTCCTTGCCTGCTTCTGCGATGTACTTCAGGTTCTGAGGACAATCCTTAGATTATCAGGTCACCACAGAGTCCCTGTATGACAAAGTTCAATGTGGATGCAAGGAGCTATATCCAAGCCTGGGGCCAGTAGGAGGAGAGGTACAGACAAAGCCCAGGATGCATTTTTGTTCCAAGGTGTCCTCACATGGTCTCTATACTAAACGACCTGCATGAATCTCAACTTATTCATTCATGAAATCAAGATACAAAATGTAGCCTCAAAAGATGGAGCCACTTCTCCGAGGGGGGAGGACAGTGGGTATGTTAATTAAAACAAAACGTTTTTGTGAATTATTTAAGGTAGAAAGTTTGTATTTCTACCTGAGATACTGTTCTTTAAGTGTTGAGTAGCAAAGGTTAAAGTCAGAGAATGTTTGCCTTTGAGGCAGAGATTTGATAAGAAATGAGTCTAAATTAATATGTTAATTTAACATATTAATTAATATTAACTCCTAACCTCATGAACCAGAAAACTGGGGAAGAAAAATGATATCAGAAATGAGCATAGGGGGCATTTGTATCCTTCATGTTTTTCTGAGAAAGTGAATTTAAATAGTATCTCAACATATTTCTGTTTTGTTTTTCTCTTTCATGTGTATATGTGTGGTGTGTATGTATGTGTGTATGCATGTTTGCATTTGTGTGAGTGTGTGTATTTGTGGGTGATGGCCTTTACCATCTGAGCCATCTTGCTGGCCTCCCACATTCCTCAATTTCTTAATTTTAATTTGCATGTAGCTATATGTTTATTTAAATGGAATTATAGATAAAATGTAGTTGCATCTTTTAAAAAAATCTAATCTATTTTTTTAAGACAAGGTCTTTTTATGTCACCCTGAGTGGCTTAGAACTCACTACATAGACTAGGCTAGTCTCAAACTCATAAAGGTCTAACTGCCCTTGCCTCCAAAATGCTAGGATTAAGGGCATGAGCAATTATGCATGGCTACTCTGTCTTTTAATGATATATTTTGATAATTTATACTTAAATAATTATTTACAGAATTAGATTTAGCTACCATATTTGTAAATGTTTCATATTTTTCCATTTCTCTCCTTTTCTATTTTTTAATTTTCATTTTTTCTTTTAGCATTACATTTATACTTATTTTTAAAGCTCTAGTACATGTCATTGAGTTTCTTTTCTTTTTCTTATTTTTTTTTTGAGACAGGGTTTCTTTGTGGCTTTGGAGGCTGTCTTGGAACTAGCTCTTGTAAACCAGGCTGGCCTCGAACTCAAAGAGATCTGCCTCCCGAGTGCTGGGATTAAAGGTATGCGCCACCACCACTCGGCTGTCCTTGAGTTTCTAAAATGCTTATTTTAAAAAACTTAGGCCAATTTAAAAATAACACTGTACCAACACTTCTTATGTAATGCAATACATAATAGTATCCATTGTATATCATGCAACTTTAGATAAAACATTACCTATCAGAAGGCACTAAAAATAAATTGTGTACCTTCACATTCTCCATGTATATTTGATTCTGTCATATGGACTGCATGAGAAAACATATTTATTTTGGTATAACTTGATGATAATTTAAGAGACTATTTAAAACCACAGATTATGATCACATTTTTTTGAGATGAAAGTTAGTTTTCTTTTTCTTTTCTATTTTTTCCTTCCTTCCTTCTTTTTTTTTTAATTTTCAAGACAGGGTTCCTCTGTGTAGCCTTGGCTGTACTGGAACTCACTCTGTAGACCAGGTTGTCCTCAAATTCACAGAGATCCACCTGCCTCTGCCTCCCCAGTGATGGATTTAAAGATGTGCACCACCACTGCCCAGCTTAAGAAAGTTAATTTTCATTTATTTTAAATGTTAGATTTTATATGTTTGAGTTGAGATTAATAGCACCCAAGACTAATGTAAGTTTTGAGAAACAAAATTTGATAAATACCCCCAAGATACTGAGTTGGGGTGGATGATTGTTACAAAGTAAGAAACAGGACTCAGACTTCTTACTGAACACTAAAGCCTTGTGAATACTCTGTATAATTCCAAACTTAGGAAGTGGAGGCAGGAAAAGGAGGAGTTCAAACAGCACTACAGAACAATCCCTGAAACACATGGGATGAGGAGACATTTCTCATAAATTGATTTGAGTAAATTTTTAATTAGAAAAGAACTTAAATACTTCATTGAAGAGTGGAAGTATCCAATTATAAATACATACACACTAAGACAAAGCTTTGAACCAAGAGACAAAGGTCTATGATAGAATCACATTGCAGAGCTTGTCAGAGAGACAGTGACATTGGCAGTGAGAATCGCTGTTCTGAAGTATGTAAAACCCAAAATGTACATTTGAGAATTGTAGTGAAGATGCTTAGGGCTGACATAGTAAAATCACTTTTATGGTCAGTAGAAGACATCCAGTGGAAATCCAACAATAATACACAGTGAAATAGAGGGACAGACAGAGGATTAGGTTAAGGAGAGAAGGTCTATTCCACCTGGGGACTTCACAGCCACTCAATAAAATCAGTGCTCCTGAGAGTTCTCCCAGAGCCTGGGAAGAGAGAGTCAAACAGCCCCTGCTGGCTGGCATTTCCTTGTGTAGACTGGGCAGTTAGAAAGCAGGTCAGCATATGGTAAACACAAACCACCAAACAGCTTCATCAGCTGAATATAGGTCAGAGGCCTCTGGTGGCAGAAACATATTTGTTTGTTTGTCTTTTTGCCTCAAGAATCTATCTAGGTATAATTTTTCACTTGTGTTAAGCCGTTCAGTTTGTTATCTCTTAGAACACTCTGAGCACATATTTAATTTTAATGCTACTATTTATGTGCATATCTGTATGTAGATAAGTACACATGGGTCTGGATGCCCATGGAGGTCAGAAGAGGATATAGAATGCCCTAGAGCTGAAAGGTCACTGCAGGGACTGTGGCGGTGGTTTCCAGCAGGTTCTCCAATGAACTTGATCAGCAATGTCAAGTGTCACAGGAAGGGAAAAGTTTTCACGTATTGAGAATAAGTGTGTGTGTGTGTGTGTGTGTGTGTGTGTGTGTGTGTGTGTGTGTGTCTAATACACTTGGCTCCAGACATAGGAGAGGACCGTGAGGGCAAAGGAGCTCATGACAATGCAGCTGCTGACAGCAAAGCCCACCTCCTCATTGAGGTGGTAATCAGTGCAGGACAGTCTCATGACTGGAGGGATGTCACAGAAGAAATGCTCAACAATATTGGGTCCACAGTAGGGGAGGGAGAAGGTGTTGAAAGTGTGGAAGGCTGAGTAGATGGCCCCACTCGCCCAGGCAGAAGCCACCATCTCAGCACGACATTTCTGGCTCATGATGGTTCCATAGAGCAGTGGTCTGAGGATGGCCAGGAACCGGTCATAAGCCATGGCTGTGAGCAGGAAGCATTCAGTAGCAGAGAGTGTGATAAATATGTAAAGCTGTGCTACACACTCGATATAGGAGATGACCCCTGAGCCTGTGAAGGATATAACCATTGCCTTGGGGATGGTGGCTGAAGTGTAGCACATGTCCAGGAAAGATAAATTCTTCAGGAAGAAGTACATGGGGGAGTGGAGCCTACTGTCTCTCATCACAGCTGTGATGATGGAGATGTTCCCCAGGAGGCCAAATGTGTAGACCAGCAAGAAAAACGGGATGACCACCAATCTCAGCAGTGGGGCATCTGAGAAGCCCCTGAGGATGAAGTGAGTCACTCTTGTGTGATTGGACATGTCTGCTCAAATTGCGTGCAGATGCAGGGACCACACAGCTAAGAGAGGAGACAGACATAGAAGGCAGGCTCAGAACATGTATGTGCAGCTCCATGTTGTCTACAGAGTCAGGGCTTTCATCGGAAAACCAACACCGTGAAGCAGCTTATCTAAATGGCATCTCAAAGAATAGAGGAGGAGGAGAAGGAGGAGGAGGAGGAGGGGGAGGACACAGAGCATACCTGCCATGTTCTCTTGCTCTTAAATTTTCCATGGAGTCAAGTAAGAAACAGTTCCATGTATTTGCTTTCTATATATTGAAGCAAATCAACTCATAAACCTTTCAATGTTGTTTTAAAGGATAGAGTGATTTTAAAAATTACTCATTATTAACACATTTCTTTCTTAATATCCTATAGATTTTCTGAATCTTCTCATTTTCTTTCTATTGGTGATTCTTATCTTCTACACACACACACACACACACACACACACACACACACACACCTTTAGTTGTAATTTTATTATTATTTTTTCTTAAATTTTTTTAATTAAAAAAAGCATTCTACTAACATCCTTGGGCAAATGTTCTATTTGAGGAACACATGTAATGTGAAACATTTGAATTCTAGGTTTCTATAAATCCCTGTTCCTAGACTCCTTGCTTTTGTTTGTTTGTCCTCCTGCTTTTTTTCCCTCTGTTGGTGTGTGATGTAGGAACATGCTGTACTCTTTATCTGTAGAGATGAGCCCACAGTGGACATTAGTGAATGGGCAAACCAAAGAGAGCGTCAGTGGTCTCCCTCAGACATCAGTCTCAAAGCCTGGCTCTAAGCCAGAGCTCTCTATGGACTCATCTGTGAGCTCACTTGTGTGTGGAGCAACATAAACCCCGTCACTCACGATGCCAAATGTGTATTATGCTGAGTAGATTCAGCAGAACATGTTACATCCACCGAAGTATCTGCTGCTCTGATCCCTTTTCTTGGTTCATTAGCAGCTCTGGAGAGGACATCTGGTGTGACTAGGATATGGATTTATTTTAGAAAGTGGTAATAGAATTGAAGCTATTGACCAATGTGTTAGTGAAAATGAGGGAATGTTTATAACATTTTTCTTTGAGGCTTGTGGAAACTTGTACCTTCCAAGCTTTGAAACAGTGTTCCTCTAAGAATGCCCTTGTTAATGCAGCAAACATTAAATACCAAGGTAACTGTGACAATATCTTTAAGTTGTATCTTTACATTGTAAGTCTTCCCCACTTGTTCACAAATGACCTAAACTTGCAGTTTCTGTCTCTGTGAAACATGTTTAATACTCAAAGTGTAACTTGAGTAGGAATCTAAAAGCAACTCACTGATAAAAGTGTATATAAGAATGTGATAGTATTAACCTGTATAAACTATGGAAGACTTCTGTTTTGAACTGTTTTCCTTACTGGCATTAGCCAGAGTGGTTGCTTTCTATTGTAAAAGAGTTTTTCTTTTATTAATTTCTAAGTACATGAAGTGATTTCTCACTGAAAACCATAACAACAGCAAAATTGTCTTTTTGTCCCTTTCTTATTGAAGTAGTATGATGTCCAGACTTATCCTCCTTGTTGACAGAGGACTTCCCTCTTTCCTCAAGACTGTGCAATATTCTGTGGGCGAGCATGCGTGCATGCATGCGTGCGTGCGTGCGTGCGTGCCTGTGTGTGCCTGTGTGTGCCTGTGTGTGCCTGTGTGTGCATGTGTGTGCATGTGCGTGCGTGCGTGCGTGCGTGCGTGCGTGCGTGCCTGTGTGTGCCTGTGTGTGCCTGTGTGTGC